CGTTAGATGATATCTCAAAGTAGTTTCGATTTGCATTTCTCTGATGATTAAGGATGGTGAGCATTTTTTCATATATCTGTAGGCCATGTGCCTGTCTTCTTCAGAGAAGTTTCTCTTCAAGTCCCTTGCCCATCCTGAGATGGGATCACTTGCTCTTTTCTTGCAAGATACATTTGAGTTCTCTGTGGATTCTGGTTATTAAACCTTTGTCAAAGACATAACCAGCAAATATCTTCTCCCATTCTGAGGGCTGTCTATTTGCTGTCTACTTACTGTGCTTTTGGCTGTGCAGAAGCTTTTTAATTCGATGAGGTCCCAGTAGTGTATTTTTGATGTTGCTTCAATTGCTTGGGGGTCCTCCTCATAAAATATTTGCCCAGGCTGATTTCTTCAAGAGTTTTCCCTACATTTTCTTCTAGTATTTTTATAGTTTCATGTCTTAAATTTAAATCTTTAATCCAGTGAGAGTCTATCTTAGTTAGTGGTGAAAGGTGTGGATCCCAGTTTTATTCTTTTGCAGGTCGCCAGCAGTTCATTTGGGAAGTCATCTGGATAATACTTAGAGAACTAAAAATAGACCTGCCATTTAATCCTATAATTACTAGGTATATATTGAGAAGACCAAAAATCACACTAGAATAAGGATATTTTTATCAGAATGTTAATTGCATCCCAATTCATAATTACTAGGTCATGGAAGAAGCCCAAGTGCCCAGCAACCCATGAATGGATCAATAAATTGTGGTATATGTACACATGGAATACTATGTAGCCATAAAGAAAGATGGAGACTTTACCTCCTTCATGTTTACATGGATGGAGCTGGATATGGGGCAAGGGGAGAGGGTGGGGAGGGAAGGGGGGAGGATAGGTAGAGGGAAGGCAATTGGTGGGATCACATCTGTGGTTTATCATATGGGGGTACATGTGAGTTTTTCTAAATGTAGAATATAAATTTCTTAACACAATAACTAAGAAAATGACATGAAGGCTATGTTGACTAGTTGGATGAAAGTATTTCAAACTGTATATAGAAATGACACACTGTACCCCATGATAGTATTAATATACACAACTATGACTTAATAAAAAAAAAGGAAGCAAGGAAATATGGAAACATTATCAGGAAAGTAAAAAAAGTTTTCCTATAATAGACCTGCTTTAAGAAATTTCAACATATAGTTCCCTACAGAAAGAAAGAAGATGATTCCATAGAGATGGAATGAAAAGTGAAGAAAGTGATAAATACATGACATATCTAAATGAATATTGGCTCTCAAAAATAATAGTAATAGAGGACTTAATATTTATTTATGTGATTAAAATTTATAATAATATATACATTTTAGGAGTAGGCAAAATGTTCAAATTTACTTCTATTTTCTGAATGAGATTAAAGGTGTTAATAAAAATTAAATTTAGGAACTTAAAGATAAAACTTTTAATTTTAGGGTAATCATTGGAAAAAAATTAAGAAAAAAGTAGTGAGTATCAGTTATCCATCACTGTGTAGCAATACTATCACAAACTTAGTTGCTTAAAGTAACATGTATTATTTTATCTCATAGTTAACATGTGTTAAGAGTCTATGCACAGTGTAGCTGTGTTTGCTGCTTCAGAAATGGGCAGTCTGAGTTTTTAAGAAAAAAACTAAAAATTAATAATATGTTATTTACAGTAGAGATTTTTTTAAGATTGAGGCACAAATACACACATTCAAATGAAAATGAAACATGGAAAGGTATGTACTATGCAATCTTAATTAAAATTTGTTGGTACAGCTGTACTAATATTTTCTAAAAAGAACTTTAAGATAAAAGCAATTTTAGAAATCAAGACAATCTTTTTAATGATAAAAATAATAATTCAGAAAGATTAAATAATTTTGTAGTTTCAAGATGCATAATACCATATTTGATAAAAATAAAAGAAAATAGAGAAATTCACAATCACATTTAGATAATAAAACATTCCTCTCTCAGTAATTCACAAAAGAGGCAAAAAAATCAGTAATAATGTAGAAAGTTAATACAAATGGGTTAGACCTTACAAAAGGCTCAAGGTTGAAGGAGGGAGGCGATTCTTGTTATTTTCTGTTCTTCCCCACTTTTGTTGTGTGTAGAACAGTGCTCCTCACCCATAGGGTATGTGGCATTCAAAGTGCCTTCCTGGAAACATAGAGCAGTCACTAGACCTGACAGTGCCTTGATCTTGGACTTTCCACTCTCCAAACTGTGAGAAAATAAATTTGTTCATCATGAATTACCTAGTCTGATGTATTCTGTTATAGCAACATGAATCTGGCTAGGGCAATAGCTAACAGATGCAATATCATTAAATTAAACAGATAGTTATTGAGCACCTACTGAGTACCAGGCATTATTCCAGATACTTGGGATAAATCAGAGAACAACTCTGATGAAGATTCTTCCTTCATTGAGCTTACATTTTAATGCAGAGGAGGGGACTGAAAGACTATACACAATGTAATAAATATGTAAACTCTGTTGTAGTTAGAAGATAATCAGTACTGTGGGGAACAGATAGAGCAGGAAAGGGTGGTCAAGAGTACTGAAGAAGAGCTGGTTATATACTTTAAAATGTGGTGAAAATGTAACATTGGAAAAAATATTTGAAGAAACTAAATCATGGAATAAAAATTATTTTCTGACCTTAGGGATGCTTACAGTCCTTCCTTCAGCCCGAGAATGCTCAATGCATGTGATTGAAACATCTTTACAATATCACTCAAGTATAGGTAAGCCAAATCCCTGAAATTGTAGGCAAAAATAATAAAACTGGCCAACATGCAGATTCTGGTCATTTATTTGCCTTGCTATAGTTTGTTTTTCATGTCTGCTTTTATCATTAAGCAAGCCTTCTTAAATATCTTTTAAGATACAACATTGCAGGAAGAGAAGACAGAACTCAGGAAATAAATACACTCACAACAAAGGAGACAGAGGACACACAGGACTCCTGTGACCCATGTGTTGGTCAAGTGGAAGGGAATGAACCCAATGCTACTTTGATTCTTGCTCCTGCTGACCACTTGGTAGGCTGTTGGAAATCCAATAGTGTCTGTAGTGAATAATTACCCAGGAAACTAGTGGCCAAAGGCAGAGTGACAGAAGGATAGAATGTGTCATTATATCACAGGAGATGGGGTAGTGGAGCCCAGGAGGAGAACCAACAGATCCCTAGGGAAGGGTCATCAGGAAGTGCTTTCACTCTGCTGAAGCCAGAGTACGTGAAGCTTTTTCGCAACAGTTCCGGGTAAGTGAGTATTTCTTGTTCTCCTGGTCTTCTCTTGGTTAACTTTACTATTCCAGAACATATTGATCATACAGCTATTGAGTGGAAGAGGGAAAAGAGGGAAAAAGGAAGACAACCACGACTTCTCTCCAAAACCAGCCTGTAGTTAGCCCCAGCTAGAAAAACAATATATGTTAAACAAATCATGTTAATACATGATTATTTCCTAGAGGTGGGCATGGTTAAGTATTCAATTGTGACTAAATAGCCTGAAATAGTATATGACTTTCTATTAAATTAAGGGCAACTATAAAACCATAGTGACTGCCTGGATTTTCACCTGAAGGCAAAGGAGGTGTCCATTATTACTCACCACCAACGGACAGTGAGAGAGAAAAATAAAGCTTCTTTTATGATTGCACCTTATGAGTCAAATATCTTTAATATGTTGACCCATGATTAAGGCTTTCTGAAGCCCACTCATGAAGACCAGTGTGTGGTGGGTGGGGTGGCAACTCTAGCCCAAGTTTGAGTACATGAGACCAACAGCCCAACTCACAGTGCTTTCTCTTGTGATGTTGGACCAGATTCTGAGAGATGCCTGAGCAAATGCTCACAAATCCAATTCCTTTCTAGGATTCTTAAACTTCAGTAATGGCGCATTAAGAACCAATGGCTAATTTTGTTGAACATGAAGATTTCCAGGTCCCACCCAAGAGACTCTGATTCATCAGGCTCAGAATAGATCATTGTTGTTATGATGTAGGTGGTCTGGAGCCTGCTTCTTTAATGGGCATATGAATCACCAGAAGATTCTGTTAAAGTACATTCTGACTCACAGGTCTGGATTGCACAAGACTGTGTTTCTCACAAGCTTTCAGGTGATGCTGATCAAAGTACTACCCTGTTTGAGTAACAATAGGACATTGGTTCCTAAACCCACCTTCCTTGCTTAAGAATCACAGATAGTACCTAATCAATATACAGATTTTAGATCTTTACCTTCAACTTGTTGACTCACAATGTTCAAGTGAGGAATCTAGGAAATAAGGGACATTCTCAAGACCTTCCTGGAGACTGAAGCCCACCTGAAGACCTTCATAATATCCCAGGAGGTATCCAACCTTTTTTCTGCTGCAAATTGGAAGAATAAAAGTCATCTTGGGCCACATACTAAATACACAAATACTAACAAAAATTGATAAGAAAAATGGAAGGTCTATGCATATTTTTCACAATATTCTACAGCACAGATAAAACAGTCCTCAAATAATCTTCATGCAGCTCACAGGATGCAGGTTGGACACCCCTAATGGAGATACCAGGGACAGCCTAA